TCCATCCTTTGCCTCTTGTTCGAGTGAGACATATCTCCCGTATTTGGACGTTTGATCGCTCCCCACCCCCTTCTCTCTTCCTCCTTGCCATGCGTAGGTGCAAGGTGTGCACAAATTGTGTCGCAAGCAAACCTGTGTCGTGGGTCATGGATGAAGGAGCATCAGCAAGGATGAGTGGCCGCTTGCCAGGTGTGTGCGTATGTATGCAAACACGCACGCACGCACGCACGCACGCGAGCGAGCGAAGAAGGTATGCATGCATGCATGCATGGTCACGTGACCTCTCAACTCGCACCCTTGACGGCGAACTCAACAACAACGCACGACTCACGCGAGACTCGACTGCGACTGCGACGTTGACTCACACTCACGACTCAACCTTCTTCTTCTTCTTCTTCTTCTTCTTCCAACCCTTGCATTCTCCCTCATCTCTCGCTCCACACGGCGTACACAGAGGTGTGAAGCGTATCGTATTGCCATTTGCTCAGCAGCGAGCGACATGCCACCTCGCAAGACACGATCATCGGCCAAGGCGCAAGTCGAATCTCTGACAGCAGCCGAGGCAACAGCAGCCGAGGCATCAGCAGCAGGCCCCTTGTCAGCCTCAAGCGTCGAACCTTTGCAGAGCAAGAGCGATAGCAGCAACAGCAGCGCACGCCCTGCCAAGAGGCTTAGGCTGTCCGAATCAGTGTCGCAGGCCGATGGCCGTCTGAGCGGTGGCGCACTTTCTGAGCGCAGCAGCAGCGCACACGCAAGACTTCGGTCAGACGATGCACCTGCACCTGCACCTGCACCTGCGCCTCCTCCTTCTCCTCCTCCTCCTCCCGCTCCCGCTCCCGAGAGTGCACCTCTACCAGATGCTCCCCCTCCTCCACCACCACCTCCTCCCGAAGATCCTCAGGATACGACTCGGCCTCAAGCTTTCACTTCTTTCGAATCGGATGGTGATACTTCTTACATACTACCACCCAGCGCTACAGCTCGGCCAGGCATCCATGGTGCGGCAAGTGGGCTAGAGAAAGAGAAAGAGGAAGAGGAAGAGGGGGATGTGCTGGATGCGGAGTATTGGAGCAGAATGGCTAGCGAAAAGGAAAAGAGCAACGTGCAGGAACTCTACCTCGACACTGTAAGTTGTGTCACGTGGCTCTCTTGTCCCTCACCTCACCTCTCCCAACTCTGACGCACGCACGCACGCGCACACTTCCCCCCTCTCTCTCTCGCTTCGCACAGATCGATCGAAGCAGATTAGACTTTGATTTTGAGCGACAGTGCAGCGTGACGTTATCTCGTCATCACGTGTACTGCTGTCTCGTGTGCGGCAAATACTTTCAAGGCAGAGGCATCTCATCGCCCGCATATGCTCATTCCATCGGCTGCAATCATCGAGTCTTTTTGAATCTGGATGCCCATGTCCATCATCTCCGCCACACGTCTGGCAGCACGACGACGAGCGCAGGGGAAATTTGGATCTTGCCAGAAGGAGAGAGGGTGACGAACAAGAGCTCTTTGAATGCGCTGCGAGATGTCGT